TCTGACATGAGGCTCCGGAGGTTGGCTTGGGGGAGTGGGCGTGGGGTGGGGTGGGTGTTGGGTGCCTGGGATGCGGGCTCAGCATGCTCAGAAACATGCTGAGGTCCCAGCAGCTGTTCTAGCAGCAGCAGAGGCAGGGGCTCCAGCAGTGGAGGCAGGGAAGGCACCGGGTGCCCATGCCTCCGGCTCCACAACGCAGCTGCCCTGACCTGGCCGCGACCTCCCTCCTTGGGCCCAGCCGCCCTGACCTTTGGGGTGTTCCCCAAACTCGGCCCAACCCCACCACACCCCCTGCCCCTGGCCTCCACAGCTTGGCATGGGTGCGAGGGCGCTCTTCCTGGGCACCTCGGAGCCCTGCAACCTGTAATTGGCTGCGCCTGGCCAGCGAGGGCCCCGCGCCACTGTCGCAGCAGTGGACGGTCGGCACGGGCCTGCTGATGGCGCTCATCGTGCTGCTCATCTGCTTGCCTCATCACAAGCTTCCTGGCCCGGCCACTGCCATCTTTGTCACGTCAATTTGCATATTCCCTCCTATTGGCTGTGGGCGCCTCCATCTTTGTCACAGTTACGGTCAATTTGCGTATCACTTTTATTAGATAGGATTCTCTGAGGTAAGAAACTGAGTAGAATGTTGTATTTATCTTTATACCAGCTAGCACTTTTAAAGATCTAGGGCCACACAATTTTAAAAGTAGCACTCTAAGATCAAGGCGGGGATACGAAAACAGTATTTCTCTTCCTGGTAAGAGAGACAATAGGTGCTCCTCCTAATCTCCACAGACAGTTGTAGCTGACAAAATACAGCTCTGAAAACCATGTGAGATGATACAGATAAAATTTAAGAAGCTATGGTTTTATTTCTTTCTCTTCCCTATCAACTCCCTCATCCTCACCACTACTCCAAACAGCACTCCCTGAAGTTCCAGTCAATGGCCAAGAAACTGTAGTAGTATATTTATGCTGAAATCTATACAGACTAAGAATAAATCCTGAAGTTAATCACCCAGGGGGGTACCTGTTAAATAGTTTACTAAGACTCATAGATCTACTGGATTTGAATTTGGGATAAAGTCCAAGAATGTGCATTTTTTACAAGCTACCCACAACTTAGGTGATAATTATAGGTGATTTCTAGGCACCCTGATGTTTCAAAAACCCTAAATTAAGTATAAGGAAGAAGGCAAATTGAATCTAGGTGTTTAGGTAGCAACTTCATTGAAAGCAGATATTAAATGGTATCATTCAGCTGTTTCTTTAGATATTAAATATCTACTGTCAGATACCATGGTGATTAAAACAACTTGATTTATCATTCCTGGATGGTAACATCTTACTCTTCCCATTGTACAAGTCGTCTTTTTTTTTTTTTTTTTTAGTGTTTCCAGATGTAATCTCATTTAACTCTGACAATATCCTATCAATCAGAAAAAGACTGTGCCATAACCTATGAAGGTAACTCCTAAAGGGAACTACATTTCAAGAAAAAGTAACCAAGTATGACACATGATGAAGTCAGTGTACATCAGAGCAAGAGCTTCTCAGCTTGTGCCAGAGAAACCCGGCAGAGACCCCTTGGCCCATGGGGAGGTGAAAAGGGGCCCAGTGCAACCAGAGTCTACAGGCTTGTGATGAAAATGGTCTCGATCACCCCGATGTGTATGCCAATATTATTTTCTAAGACTGTCAAGGAGTTTGTGAAGCACCAACTTCGCACAAAGTGTTGATCTGAGAATGAATAAAACTAGGTTCAACTCCTTGCTACCTTACTGAGTTAAGACACTTAACCTTTTTGACCCTTAGCTAGGCTCTTACTTGTTAAATGAAGACTAGTTTAGACTACTTCTAAGGTCTCTATTTCTAAAATTCCATATTTTCCTGTACATTTACATTTCAGAATGTAAAGTAATACTGGTCATTTGATTAAAAACTCTAAATTCAGTCATTCATTAAATATTTTATTATCTTTTTAAAATATATTTTTATTGATTTCAGAGAGGTAGGGAGAGAGAGAAACATCAATGATGAGAGAGTATCATTGATTGGCTGCCTCCTGCATGCTCCCTACTGGGGATTGAGCCTGCAACCCGAGCACGTGCCCTTGACCAGAATCGAAGCCGGGACCCTTCAGTCTGCAGGCCGACACCCTATCCACTGAGCCAAACCAGCTAGGGCTCATTAAATATTTATTAAGCACCTGAGTAGATGAGCTGAATGATACCATTTAATATCTGCTTTCAATGAAGTTGCTACCTAAACACCTAGATTTATTAAGCACCTAAGCTGTGCCAGGCATGTGAGAATCTGGGAAATGGATATGGAAGATATAATCTCCTAGTATGGGGTCAAATGCCTTTTAGTGTGAATAATAACATACTTTATTGTCAATAATCTTTGTGTTCCTTTAAATGGTTAAATAGTAAAGTCTACTTAATAGTGCCCAAATAATGGAAATCTGCACAGATAATAAAAAGCTATAATTATAGTCACAGCTTCACCAACATACAAGGCTTTCCTTTTCTGTACCCTTCACTTGTTTGGTTTCATCAGAACATTCAAATTTACTGGTAATTTGCACTTATAATCAAAATCAACTTCCAAAGTCTAAATTTATAAAAATAGTTTATTTTAAAGACTCTCAATAAGACTTCAACATCCTATTTTCAGATATACCGACAAGAAAATCAGTATGTTCAGTATGTTTTCATCCATGATGAAAGTTGCTCCAGAATCTATTCTTAAACCTAAATATAGTTTATTATACATGGATTAACAGTTTTAATTAAATATTACATAACTGTAATTTCCCCTACAAATCTAAAGTGAAGTTTTCATATGGATACAATTTCACAAAGGTTATAAATATATATCAACTTACAACTAAAGGAAACATTCAGTTTTTCACAATGTTTTAAAAATCTAGATCCATAATCTCTTAAAAAAAAATTCTTCCCATATAAAAGAAAAAGCTTTCCCATATATAAAAAAAAAATCTATACATTTCTCTGGTAATGCACATATTTACCTAATAGTAAGATCCAAAATGAGAAGAATTACTATCTCCAGAAGAGGAAGAGGGAGGCAGGGGTGGAGGGGGAGGAGGTGGGGGTATGGAGTATGGTATGGGAAATAATGGATGAGGTGGCATGTTAGGTGTAGGCCAACCCATGTTTACAAATGCAGGTGGTGGAGGTGGAGGTGGTGGTGGTAGTGGAGGAGGGAGTGAAAAATTATGCATGTCAAACACTGGAGGAGGAAAGGGATACTGTGGCATAAGATTATCTTGTCTCTGAGGTGGAAATCCTGAAGTCTCCTGAGGTACCATATGCTCTGAGTTATAAAACTGTGGAGGTGGGGGCCTGCCATGGCAAGGTCGAGGATATCTACCCCGGGAAAATCCTGGCGTGAATTCTCTGTTTTGATATCCTTGTGAATGCTCTGAAGCAGAGCTATGAGCATTCCAATTCTGATGTACTTCTGCAAAATCTTCACCTTTGGGCAGGGTAAAAAAAGCATAAAAACAAAATTAATTTTAAAACATAAAAAAATACTGTTTAAAATTTCAATAAAGTCTTTTCTTTAACTTCCAATATATCTTACGGCAGTTAAAAATGCATAAGGCTTAAAACGATCAATTTTAAAGCATCCAAAAAGCCAGAGAATCAGAAAAGGGAAAACTTAGCAAGGTAATAAAATTTTAGACAATGACGACTGGACTCCAACTAAACAGCAGAGAGAACACTAGAAATCTCATCACCCACACTCTCAGAAGCTGAGTGGGGAGCCTAGACTTCCTCCCTTAATAGGCTTAATGAGATGCCTCGACCTCCTACCAGGTCATGTCAGAGCAGGTTGAACAAGGAGCCAGTTACAGGCCTCCTGCAGTGACCCTGGAGATCACATGGGGAACCTGGACCTTTGCCTCCACTGCCATAACACAGACCTCCGCCACCTCCTGCACTGGGTGGTGTCAGAGAAGCCCTAGGGCAGGGGTGGGCAACTCCTGGCACGCGTGCCAAACATGGAACGCCAGTAACTTTTGCTGGCATGCAAAACCCTCATATAATCTTCCATTTACAATTATTTTCTTAATATCGACTTTTTTATTTTTCAGATAAATTCAGTGTAGGTGCATCTTAGATAAATAATTTTACATAACATGTATACATTAAAAAATAAATGTATTTTTCATCATCATATACTGTGTTTTTGTCGCTCGAATGAATTTTATTATTTCTTCAAGGTTCTTCACATACGTACACCTTAAGAGATATCAAGTAGGCGTAACATGTTCTCAAAAAATTAGGGTTGGCACGCAGAAGAATTTTGAGTCAGAGATTTTGCTGGTTTTGGCATGCACTCACAAAAAGGTTGCCCACCCCTGCCCTAGGGGAGAGGCAGGACTTTGAGCACCACCCAGCAGTAGCGAGGCCATCCCCCACTGTTGTCAGGGGAGCAGTAATGAGGTAACTCTACCCAAGAGGGGGCCCACACCTGCCCATCAGTAAAACGCACCTCCTGGCCTCAGATGTCAACAGAGACTGAGAAGAAAACCTAGACTTGTATCCCTATCTGGTAGGGAGAGTAATAATGTGACACCCTCCCTTCCTTTCCCTGCCAGAGCAGTTTTAAAAGCAAGACTGCTAAAACAGAAGATTTAATTAACATATAGAGTCTTGTAACATAATACCCAAAATGTCCATGTTTCAATTAAAAATAACTTATCATACCAAGAGCCAAGAAAATTCCAAACTCAATGAAAAAGGAAAATTAATCAAGGCCAATACCAAGATGACAAAATGTTAGAATTATCTAAGAAATATTTTAGAATAGTCATAAAAATGCTTCAACAAGAAATTATGAACATACTAAAACAAATAGAACAAAGCAAAAAAAAAAATAATGAAATAAAAATTTTAGAAGTGAAAACTCAATAATACAGTTAATATGTTAATTCTCTCCAAATTAATATACATACAAGTTTAATGCAATTCCTAACAAAATCCCAGCAAGACTTTTTGTCAATATAAAGATTATTCTACAATTCATATGAAAAGGCAAAGGAACTAGAATACCTAAAATAATTTTGCAAACTTTTAGAAAACAAAATAAGAGAAAATCTTTGGAAATAGGTCTAGGCAAGAAACTCTCAGACTCCATAAAAGAAGAACTGATAAATTTGGTTCATCAAAATTAAAAACTTTGTTTTGCAAATGACCCTTTCAAGAGGATAAAAACACAGGCTAAAGACTGGAAGAAATTATGTACAAACTCATAATTCAAGAATTAAACAGAAATATAATTAGATAATGGGTAAAAGACGTAAACAAACATATCATTGAAGAAATGGAAAGATGTTCAATATCATTAGCCATTAGGAAAATGCAAGTTAAAATCACTACCTACCTATAAGAATGGCTAAAATAAAAAAAACAGTGACAACACCAAATGCTGGTGAGAATGCAGAAAAACAGTCACTCACACACTGGTGATGGGAATGTAAAATGGTACAGCCACATCGAAAAACAGTGTGGCAAGTTCTTGAGGAACTACACATACAACCATCATATTATCCAACAAATGCACTCTTAGAACAAAGAAACGAAAATTTGTGTTTACACAAAAACCTGTACACAAGTGTATAAAGCAACTTCATTAATATAACCCAAAGCTGTTAACAACCCAGATGTCCTTCAATGCATGAATGGTTAAACAAGCTGTGGCATATTCACATGCCACTCTGGAATAAAAAGAAACAAACTTGACACATACAACAATCTAGATCAAGCATGTCAAACTCGTTTATTTAAATGAGGCATGTGGCCCGTGTGACTTCATTTATATAAGCATACTTGACATGACAAATTATATTATAGAAATAGAGAACAGATTACTGGTTGCCAGGAGTTGAGGAGGAGGTGGGAGGGAGGAAAGTGTGAGTGACTTTATAAAAAGGCAACATGAGGGATCTTTTTCTGTTCTGGAAATGTTCTGCATCTTAACTGTGTCATTGTCAATATCTTGGTTGTGATATTTTACTGTATAGTTTTGCAAGATATTACTATTGCAGGAAATGAGGTAATGGGCATATAAGATCTCTTTATTATTTCTTACAATTCCATGTCAATCTATAAAAAGTTTAGTTTTAAAAAGGAAATAGAAAATAGAAAAGGCATAATAAAATGAAATGAATGTTAAAAATAAAGTATCTTGAGTAAGATATTAGGTATCATATCATTTAATTCTAAATATGGAAGCCACTAGGTTTTTTAAGAAAAAGTGCTAATGAGCACAAATAACTCTAACAAAGTTTAGTATGTCTTTTCCCCCCAGGAGTCATTTTTACATTCTCAAGTTTGAAAAACCACCACTGAACATTTCTTGCTTTAAAATGCCTTCAATGCTAGTTGCATGGCAGGAGATAAAAAATAAAACCCAGATATTTTCTTCAATTTTATTACTAATGGACATGTAAATGTAAGTAAAGATTTTTAAAAAATTGCTATATGTTGTATTTACTCACCTGACTCATTAAATTGAGATTTAAATTTTTTCCGGCCTTGAATGCGATTTTTTTTTCTGTGTTTGGCTTCTTTTTCCTTTTCATCATCGCTGAAATCTAAGGCCTGACAGAGAAAAATATATAGATTTACATCGCATGAATTTACCAATTCAATGGTACATACTTAGAGATGAGAAGAATAATCCTATTATTTAACACTGTCACTAAAAGATACTCTTTTGATACATAGTAGTTGCAGTAACATCTGAATTAATTACATATCATAGAAAAACAGTCTTTTTTTTTTTAATAACTGTCTAAAGCTTTATTAGACACAGGCCAGTAATCAGATGAGTACTCAAGGCTTTTTGGTTTTTTAATTCCTAGGAAGTTTCTGATAGGTAATTTTAAAATTCCGATTTTCAAAACCTTGAGATACAGCTACTTCCTAGTTAGAAGTTTGACTTCCAGTTAGAGTGAAGATTCATCATAGTACCAGCCAAAAATGCTACAGAAAGGATCAGTTAGGAATATGCAAATGACAAAGTATCAGATCTAATATAAATATAGGAGAACGGGCCCTGGCCAGTGTGGCTCAGTTGGCTGAGAGTTGTCCCATGCACCAAAAGCTCACTGGTTGGATTCCTGGTCAGGGCACATACCCAGGTTGCAGGTTTGATCCCCAGTAGGATGCCTGAAGGAGGCAACTGATCGATGCTTCTCTCTCACATTCATGGTTCTCTCTCTCGCTCTCTTTCTCTCCCTTCCCCTCTCTCTAAAATCAATAAAAACATATTTTAAAAAATAGGAGAATATTATACCTTTTATTCAAAAATTTACACATACCCAGTATAAACCAAGCACTGTTCTAAACACCATACAGATATTCATTTTTTACTAATATAATGTCAGGAATAGTAAAGGTTATAAATAAACAATAAGGCAAAGTAAGGGCAGAGAAAATCTTGAGGGATGTTATTTAGAGAGGATTTCAGAAAAAGGCTTTGATAAGCAGATACATGCATGATGCAACTTCCAAGAGGAAATCATTTTAAATTATAAGAGAGCAAGTCATAAGTAACTAAGAATTGAGATTCACTGTTATAACCCACCAAAAAAATAAGACTTAGAAGCTTTATATATTATGACTTCTATGCTTTCTTAGATTTCAGGCATTTATTATTTTATTAATATCAAAAAAACAGATCTTATGTTTCTTAGAAAACAAAAGCAGGCTCACTGTGTATGCATGTGTCACATTTAAAAGGATTTATAAAATCTTATAATGTATAGGATTTTCAGTTCAGTCTTGCTGAAATATATTCTACATGAAATCTTCCATGAACCAAAAGTCCATAACCTCAGAATCCATGATCAAATTCAGAAATATCAAAGGATTTTAGCACCTTCACCTACCTTTACTGATCTTAATGTGGTAAGATTTTTAAGCTCATGTGAAATCTGCTATCTGCCAGGCAGTAGGAAGTATTGAAATCAGATGGAAAACATTTCTTTCTCTGAAATTGTACAGTCAAATGAGAAGGTAGACACAATGAGCAGGTGCTTTGATTTATTTAGTGCTATAGCAATAGGAGGCTGAAGGGGAAAAAAAAGGGCAAGGAAGATTTCTTGGTATGGGTAACCCAAGATAAATCTCTAATGATGAGTTAACAGTGAAAATAAGAGAAAGGAAATTTCCAAGGACTGAGGATATGTGTAGAGGCTCAGTATATTCAAGAAATGAGAATGGTTTTGTAAGACAAACTGAAAGCTTCTTAAAGAGAAAAATCAGACTGAAATTAGAGACCAAAAACTTATTGTGCTATTTTAAATAACTTGGCATTGTCCTAAAAGCAGGAGAGAGACATTAAAGGATTTTAATTAGTAATAGGCTATTTTAGAGAGATAGTTTTGCCAATATTTTGCTATCACCTCCCTACAATCAGGCAAAATTTCATTTTCCTTAAACACAAATTAATTTAAACTTGCATTCATTAAACACATTCATTTATAAGTATCCATATATCAGAAATGAATATGAAGATGATTAAGATGCATTCTCTGTAAGTTTTAGCTCCTTTATGCAAGCCCAACATTTCCTATTTGCACAGCATGATTTTTTAAAAACAGTTTAAAACCCAGAAATTCCAAATTTTAATCTATATTTAATATCAAGCCATATTGTAAACTATAAAATGTCATCATAATAAAATAAACTTTAGAATTTTAGAGTTTTCCATATTATGAAAATAACGGACAGTCAACTATTTAGAAAAAAATTGCATGAAGTATGCTCAGATTTAATTTCATAATTAACCTAATCAAATGATTTTATAAACAGTGAGCATTACCATACTTAGCAACTTTAATGCTTAAATCTGAAACAACAGGGATGTATAAGAATATTTGCACTTCACAAGAAATATCTTTTAAGACTTTTGTAAAGTTTCGAATACTTTAAAAACATGTAATTTCAATAATAAAATGCCCTATACATAATTAAGAACATTAAGTGATTCTTCAGGGCCTTAATGGAAATCACATGTACATACAGCATAAACTAGAAAATAAAACCCCAGGGTAATATGGATACTAAACTAAGATTACTCACTCGTCAAATGACTCACAGTGGTTAAGTGACCCTCTAAGTGAGCATTGCCTGATTCATGTCTCAGCAAAATTAGACATTAATATAGATCATGAATCTTCAGCATTGAGGACATGTAAAATAAACAAGGTTAAATCTAAAATACCTAGAATTTATAATACTGAGAAACTTCATCAGAACTACTGAGCACATATAAAGACTCTCAATTATAATCATTATTTTATACTATATAAATTCATACTATTTTCAAGAAATGTATACACTCATTGCTGTAATTTCTGTATTTTAATAACTTAAAAATATGCTTAAATATCTCCATGGAAAGGGAAATCAAGTAATTCTACAGATTATCACTGACTCTATTTCATATCTTTTGAAAGACCGTGATATCAAGCTACTTTGGAACATAAAACTAGTCTGGTTGGCATAGATTCAAAAAATAAAATAAACTCTTTTTAAAAAGAAAATTTTTATTGTTTTCAGAGAGAGGAAGGGAGATGAATAGAGATATTTCAGAGATAGAAATATTGATGACTAGAGAGAAAATTATTGATTAACTGCCTCCTCCATGCCCCCCCTACTGAGGATCGAGCTGGCACTGGGGCAAGTGCTCTAACCGGGAATCAAACCATGACTTCCTGGTTCACAGGTTAATGCTTAACTACTGAGCAACACCAGCCAGGCAAAAAATTCTTTTAAATAAGGTAATTATATTGTAAAAATGGAAGGGTAGGTAGATTCTAATAATTCTGTACCTCCAAAAGAAAGGCAGCTTATTAAACACGCCATTAATAAATATCTTCATGTCTGACATGGCAAAATCACTAAATTGAAGAATAAAATTTTAAAAAATAATAACAATTCTCTCCAGGTATTAAACTGATTAAAAACAGGAGATTATAAGTGAAATGATATGCTAATAATTATTAAAATGTGACTGGAAATATCTTTTAAATGATCAATAAAAAATTCTTATTGAAAGGCATACAGCAGTCACGTGGGAGACAGGATAATGCATAGGCTCACAGAGGGCATATGAAGAGCATTAAGGTCAAGGATGATAAATTTTTAAGATTAAGTCCTGCCTTACTTTCTAAAATATTGTGCAAAAAGACTTATGCTTACGTCTGGTGGTGGTTCTTGATCATTTTCCCATGATGCATCCGATCCCTTCTCCCTAGGAAGAGAAAACAAAAAGTCAAAGTACTTGCTGACATTGTTAAGCACCTGTAACTTTACGGTATTAAAAATAATAAAAGTATCCCCTGGCAGGCGTGGCTCTGGGTCAGTGGTTGTGGTTAGAGCATCAGCCTATGCACCAAAGAGTCACGGGTTCAATTACCAGTCTAGTGGGTTGCAGGTTTGAAACCTGGCCCGGTCGGGGCACATACAGGAGGCAACCAATCGATTTGGATCTGTCTTTCTCTCATTGTTTTTCTGTCTCCCCTTCCCTTCCACTCTCTCTAAAAATCAATGGAGAAAATAACCTCAGGTGATGATTAGCCAAAATAATAATAATGTTAAAAGTAGAAGACATGAGCTCAACTCTTAATTCTGCAACATACATGAAAATAAAAGCTAAAAATAAAAGGCCGTTTTTATGTCCTTTAACTTGTTTCTGAAGATGTGGGGAGCTCATAAGAAAAATACAACATTTGGACATTTTAGAATTGGGGGTGAGGAGGTCAGAATAAGAAGTGAAGGCTGTGGTGTGCAGACAAAAGTACTTTTGCAGTTCACAAGCATCTCCAGATGCTATGACTTGATTAATGCTTTCATGATATCTGAGCTCAGTTGATAAAACACACTTCAATAAATGCTTATTCTACACAAACTATAGGTCAGACTGTTCCAGGTGCTAAGGACAGGAAAACAAGTATGAGGCATTTCCTTGTCTTAAGATTTTACAGGTTTAATGGTAATGATAACAACATGAAATTCTTTTTCCTCAATTTACCTGAAGAATATCAATACTCCATGAATAACCAATGCTTATTCAGTGATTGTCAAAGCAGAGAGGGTAAAAGGCTATCTAGTTTGGGGAGGAAGAGGAGTTTTGAAGGTTCTGAAGGACAGTATAATCACAAGCATTAATTACTTTTAGTGGAAAGTTTTATACTCCATGACCAACAAAAGTACATATCTACTATGAGTATAATTATAATTTAAGAAAGCTCATTTTAAATCTTAGTAATCTTTTTGATTTAATAGTTTGACAATATCTTATTACTTGATTATATTAAAACTAGTAACCTGATGCACGAAATTCATGCACATTAAAAGGGAATTAGAGGAAATATTTTAATATTGCTATTTGACCTTTCTCTATAATAGAAGTGTCAGAGATGAAAGAAAATTAGTAAAATGTATATGAAAATCTTCCTCCTGTCAGAGTCTGGGGCGCGCCATGGGAACCAGAGTCAAATCCCTGCCCACCCATGTGCGCCTCGAAATCGCGCGAGACCCAGAACCTGCAGGCCCCACCCACATTGGGCTAGATCCAGACCTGGCTGGCCCCACCCCTGTCAAGGCCTGCTGGGTGGGGGGGCGCAGCCTGAGGTCCTCCGTCAAGCCCAGCAAGGCGGGGGGGCATGGCCTCAGATCCCCTGGCCCGGTGCAGGGGGTGCGCCCTGAGGTTCCCCATCAAGCCCCGCTGGGCAGGGGGCACGGCTTGAGGTCCCCCGTCAAGCTCTGCTGGGTGTGTGGGGGGGTGTGGCCTGAGGTCCCCTGTCAAGCTCTGCCGAGTGGGGGACATGGCCTGAGGTCCGCTGGCCCAGCGCCGGGGTGGGGGCACGGCCTGAGGTCCCCTGTCAAGCCCCACCAGGAGGGGGCGCAGCCT